GATTTAAATAGGATCTGTCACATCCATATGGGCTTGTTTTTTGTAAGCAGTAACAAAACAGGCAATTGTATACCACTTTGTGTTGGTCTTTCACATTAAATTCCAGTGAAATATATTTATGTTTGTGGTTGTAATGTGACAAAATATGGAAAATTTCAAGGGGTATGAATACTTTTGCAAACCACTGTATATGCGCAAACACACTTGTCTTTTTTTGATACTGTAAAAAAACAACCAGACCGCTGACATGGCGCTGTACTTCAGTTATTCCTGGCTGCACATCAGATACCACTTGGCCAACCTTCTCCCAAAACTAAAAACGCAAAACTAAAAAGTGGGAAATCAATAATGGATGTTAATATCGGCCCAGTTTTACCTTTTGAACCGATACAATATTCAAATGTCAGCCAATACTAAAGTTAACGCCTGATATTGTGCATCCCTAAAATTAATAAAAGGTTAAAGCTTAAACCACTTTTTTTTTAGCTTATTAATGATATTCATAAAATCATTATAGATTTTCAGACATTTAAGGCCAATTTTCTGAAGATGGACGGTTCACGTCAGCCATAGAAAAACGATAATCCATCTCACTTTACGTATATTGATTGTCTTCCCCCTGGCGTGTTTATTTTTATATTTATCCATCATTTGTCATGACGGCTGCTTCATGTTTCACAGAGGTTTACTATTTCAGAGCTCATCATGCATTAATACTTTATGTGCAGAACCGCTGGTGTTACCCCCCTAGCTACAACCAGCCCTTCGATACTGCAGCACGCATTAGAAATGTAAACCCACTATTAAACCAAGTTGCACTGCACTATTCTTCGCAGCTCCGTGGCTGATAACCTGTAGGTAAATCTGTCCTGCATTTCGATGAAACGTTTTACAACGTGCATCTTTACAGGATGACTAATTGGCTGTTTTCTAGTTGCGATGCTTTCTGAATTTCCTCGAGGATTTCTTTTTGCAACGATGAGCTACAGTTTCTGCAAATATCTGCTTTTCTGAAGCAGCTGCTGTTCATTCGCTCATATTTGTTTCTGCCTTATAAGAAAGAGGGATGATCTTAAATTGCATTATTTAGTGTTGTTGCACTCCTCACAAGGTTTTTAAGTGCAGGAAGGATTCATCATAAATACATGAATCCGTAGACGGAACGATATTCTTTTCTTTTCTGGTGTTGGCAGCTCAGAGAGAGCTTTATGAAAGACAAAAAAAGTTCAGGTCTGATTTTCTGTGCGTTCTCAGATCTCAGTTGAAGAAGGCCGACTCGCAGCGCAGAGGAAGTCAGATATTTGCTCTGCAGTGATCAAGCTTTCCTCTGCATCCTGTTTTTAACCTTCATGCCTCCAGGTTGTTTACCTTCTTTCCCACCTTCTATCTCCCTGTAACACATAAACTCAGCCTCAACCACGGTAGTAAACAAAACGACTCTCCATCTCCGTGGAGGAAATATGCGGCGCGTTGCGAGCAGAATGTGGTGTAATTTGATAAGCACGTACGCAGGCGTGCCAAGTCACATTCACAGACAGGAGAATGCAGGAAAGGGACAATGGGAATGTTTGTTCAACTGTAACAATTGACCAGTTACCTCGGGCAACCAAATTACATGGCTGTCAGCTGTCTTGCTTGGTTCGGCTGGCAGGGTTAACATTCAKTGTTGTTGTTTTTTTTGTCACCGGTGTCCCGTGTTTGATGTAAAATCAGTCCCTAAATTAGGGCTGGGTATCGATTCAAATTTCCCAAATCGATTCGATTCGATTCACTGGGGCCCGATACGATTCACAACAATTCAGGACGATTCACGATTCAGTTTGATTTCTAAATTAGTTAAGGATATCAAGCAGTAACACATTTACTTTGATATAGAAGACATTCTCAAAGGAACTAATTCTGCAAATAGTAGAAACTAATTCTAASTTGGTTTGTTGGTAAAATTATAAACATTAAGGACAAACTTATAAATTGGAGTTTAATCTTGAAAGAAAACTGTGCCAAGTTTCAAAGGGTTTAAACTAAAAAGGAATTGCAAGAGAAAGTGTTGTTGGATACAGTTTTTTAAGAAATTAAGAATAATTTTCTTGATCATTAACTAGTGATGGAATATGGTTACAGGAGAAGAGGTGGGATAATATAAGTGTTTACTTCTGCCCACTCTTTTCAGTGTATGAAAATTGTATATTTGTAATATTTTTGTTAGCTTCTGTTCATTAAAACTTATTAACAAGAAGAAAGAAAAAAAAGTTATTCAGCTAAAACATTTCACCACTGTGAATTACATTAAGATGTTTCTAAAATTTATAAATAACATTGATAACAAAACAACGATTTTGTTAGACTGTCATCTTTCACACATTTATAAAGGAGGGGAACAGTTTCAGTCAGATGTTTAAATAACGTAGTTTTGGTCCGACCACCGGAACCAGCCGTTCGAAGCTTCGTTTCCCTCCACCGCGTCCGAGCACAAAACTTTGCAAACAAAAGTTGTCCAGGCCTCTGTTATCTTTAAGTTCAGCTGAGAATCAGCTGTAATGTTAGTCATTCCTTTGTTTCTTTTGTTTTGCCACAGACAACTTGTTGTCGGGAGCTAACATTAGCACTGACCGTCGCCAACTGGATGTAAATCTACGGCAAGCCTGGAGTGACACACAGCATGGAAACGTGCAGCTTCATCGCACACGACACCTGTGGGGGGAAAATAATCAATCTCGTGACTTATGAATAGGGCTGTGTATTGGCAAGAATTTGACGATACGATACATATCATGACAGAGGGGTCACGATACGATATATCCTGATATATTGCGATACTGTAAACAAGGCGATATATTGCGATTTCTTTTGTCCAAAAATTCTATTAAATAAAAACCTCTTGCTGGGGAAAAAAAAAAAGAAAAAACAAAATTCATCGTCTCAGAAAATTCTAATATTACAGAGACATACTTTTGATACATTTAGCTGTGTTCTGCTTTGTATGTGTTTTATTTGTTTCATATTTTTATTTCATCCATACTTTCAATTATTAGACTAAATTTGCCAATAAATAGTTTGAAAATATATTTTTTGCAGCTTTTAGTTTTTAATATTAATTTACAATATGGTTAACCAACACTTAACAAATTACTGGCTCACTGCTGCTAACTAGTGGCCAGAGGCTGAACTACAACATAAAATGAACGACTGGCAGGAAAGTTGACATATTAAACCTTAATAAAAAATCGATACAGGGCTTTAGAATATCGATACAGTATCGGGAAATGAAATATCGCGATATTTCAGTGTATCGATATTTTCTTACACCCCTACTTATGAATTGATCTTCCCAAATTTGAACAAGAATCGATCCGATTAAATCAATTTTTTTAACCCAGCCCTACCCTAAATCATTAAMTTATTTGTTATTTTGGTCTTTTAAAAATTTTAATTGCAGTTTATAAGGAAGGGTTGGGCAATTAACAACTAATACGATTAATGCTGCTGGGACTGTTCAGTTCACTCGGCGCTCCTTTTCCCTTTCCTCTTCCAATCCAAATAATGGATCACCTGCTTCCTTCACTCTGTCCCAGACTGTTTTTTCTCCCGTCTGTCTTTGAGCTTACCTCTTCTGTCTGAAAAAGTTCTGATTGCATCTCAATCAGCTGCAGCTCCACATTCAAATATTGCCTCTTTCTTYTGACAAACACTAAACTACACCCTAACTAAGACACGCTAATTATCATAAATCCCTCAAGTCTCATTGCTCCATCCTGCTCTCCCTGTCTCCATCTCCACTGAACTTCATTCATCTTTTGCGTCTTTTTATTTTCTCCTTTCTGTAGATTCTTTTGCGGCTCGTCAAATAATTTCAGGCCTCAGTCTGAAAGGATTTTTGGGGTTTCATGTTAGTTCGGGGTGGTGAGCGCAAAACCAGGGGGTGGATTTGTTTTTTATAAATTAATCTGCATGTCTTTCACTGCCTCCCGCTGCAATTGGAGACATAACTTGAGTAAGTTAATTATCATAACTCTGGTTTTACTTGACCTATTAACGTGATTTAAAAATTTGTGTTTAGCTTGAAGTCTGTATTTTTGATGCAAATTGACACAAATTCTTAGAGAGAGTGCATCTTTCTCACTATAGTGATTAAAATCAGTCATCTGACTATGACATACCAACATCCAGGGATTCCAGGGGATTAATCGTCATAATAATAGTTATCAGCTAAATCAGCACTTTTTATAGAAATGAAACTAAATTTATTCAAACATTATTGCGAGGTGTGACCATCTTGAATTAAAAACTTTCATGAAATTTGGCAGGTGATATGCACTCCTTTAATAAATGGTATTTAACCGGGTCATTGGCTGACCTGATTTCTACAGATCTGTATAGATCATTGAAAAATGTAATTATTAAAGTGAATGTTCTCATTGTATGAACTATAACTTTTATGTTTTCAGACTTGAAGCAGAAAAAAACATATCAGATTTGTTATTGTCAGTTTCTAAAATTTGGGGGAAATGACTTTTTGAATTGCTATTAATTGAAAACATCTCAAATGTTGGTTTTTGCCAGTTTTCGGAGCCGTTAAGGCCTTTTACTTTCCTGCTAACCACGTGTTGAATTCACAGTTGGATTCTGGTGGAAGTCTGACATCTTGTGTGAATCTTCGTATTGTAACAAACGTAAAGTGTTTGCGCACGTGAATGTGTGTGTTCTGCAGCTGCAGCAGGTCTTCGGGTCAGGATGGGCTAAACGTTCCAGAGAGAGGAAATGAAGACAAATGAACAGAGACGAGCTAAAGACTCTTCAAGTCAGTTTCATATTACTTATCACCCAACAACCCCCCCACTGCTTCACACCATTCTCCTGCCCTTTTTTTTTTTTCAATTTTCCCCTTCACTCCCTGAGAAAAATATTACAAAGCCACACAGAAGGACTCCCGGCACGGTAATGAAAAGCGCAAAAGCATGGCACTTTTTGTGCTACTTTCGCGTCACCGGCAATTAATTCCACAGCAGAGCCTGTGGTGCTATAATACTAATGCTAAAGCCAGCAGTGCATGAACACTGACTATAAATTTAAATCAACGTCAGGCACTTTCTTCCTCTATGTTCCTTTATATTTAACTATTCACTCCTTGTGTGTGTTGGAATGGTGGGGTACGCCTTGTAGCCCTTGAGGCAACTCAGAGAAAAAGTTCAGGTTCGACATCCGACGCCACGCTTTGATTTTCTGTACGTAACACAATCAAACGTTACATTCACCTTTCGGGGCTCTAAGACAGAGACTGTGATATTAAAAAAAAGTGTGCAGGATTGTTTGCGTGGGCGTTTCTACTCGAGTTTGGCGACTCCAAGGATTCTGAAACAGCGATGGCTTTCTAATGGGCTCGTTTTTCCTTCCTCAGTTAGTCCTCGGACTCCTGCGCAGGCTGCATGTAAACTAAGAGGGAGGCAGAGGGAGCGGATGAGGTCACGTTTTTTTCCTTTATAATGATGTTGTGACACTTTCGCCGTTTCCCCACAACCTTTTCTGAATTTTCTCTCCGATTGGCTGCGAGGGACATCAATGAAAAGGAGAGGGAGGAGAGAAAGGAACGAAGTGATTTGTGGCCGTATCGATCGACGGGTCAGAGATATCGATCCGCGAGGAGGAGGAGGGAATGATGTAGTCACCGTCTGAGAGCGAGAACAAGGGATGGGATTCCCTGAAGCTTTTGGGGGGTTCATTGAAAATGGATGAAAACTAGGACACTTTCATCATCCTCTCATATCGGGAAGAGCTCAGTTTTTCCCACTGCCTCTTTTCAGCTGGGAACATTAATATAAATCAAAGTTTTAGATGTGAAGATAAAACATGTTAACCCCACATTTCAAATTTCTCTCCAAAGGGAATGCGGAAGATGGATTCCTCATTCCGTTTTTACCTTTTTCACATGTTGGTTCTGAAACTAGCGAGCCTTTTTCCCATTCCATCCGAGATACTTTTGCTTCAAAATAGTTTTTTTGTTTTGTCTTCTCCAACTATCCTGAATTCCTTCCAGCAACAATGGCAGTGTGTCTATGGGCACGTCTTTCTGATCAGGCATAGCAATGAGGACCATATGGAGGGGGTCGCTTTCCTTTTATCCAGTGCAAACCAGCTCAGCACTCGAGAGCTGCAGCTTCCTGGCTCGCCTTCCAAGCTCCCGCCAGGTTGTCTCTGAGTCTCATCCTGCTGCCATCTGCTACTGACTTGGGCTCCTTCCAGAGATTCTGGGGGGAAAGAAAAAAAAAATGGAGCGCCCCTCTCCTCTCCATAGCAGGAGCCAGCATGGAAGCCCAGTTTCCTCTCTGTCTCTTCACTTTAAAGGCAACTGCATGGGGCTTGAGTTCACTTTGGCAGCTACGAGCAGTAGCAGTGATTTCTGTTAATGTGCTAATAAGCGTTGCAGTGAACTCAAGGTTTAAAAAAAAGGAAAGTAACACGATGGTCGAGTTATGAAATGTCAGATCTTTCAATCAGAGCTCTTTGTATTTCACTGCTGGAGTAACATTCGTGTGTCTTATAAGAAAAAGCAAGCGTTGCTCTATTTGTATTCCGTGGATTCACTGAATCTCATGAATGTGGGGTTTAGAAATAACTTGGGTGCTTCAGAATGCTTCATTTCTGGTCATTTAAAATGGAAAAACATAATTTCCTACTTATTACTAGTGTGGGTGTTGGGGAAATGCAGGGAATCAGGCTGTAATCAGGCATGCAAGCAGCTTCTAAAATGAGTGTTGAATGTGATTTTGAAGTAGTTGTTCCCTATAGCACATAAATGAAGGAAAAAAAACACTTGTTTCTGCAGCTCTTGTGCTGAATTTGCTGTTTAGAGAACAATACGTGCTGCCATGTTAGATTGTTACTAAAAGTCAGTGGTGGGCACAGCTAACGACAAGATAAGTTTCACTAAACAGATAATAAGTTAGTTGAAGCTAAGGCTAACCGCTACGTTGACACACATCATCTTCTTCCTGTTAAAGTTTTCTATTAGTTTAAATTGAAGGTGGGTGGGATCAGTTTTGGCAAATTGTCAAATCCGAGTTACACCCCTGTCTAACTTGTGATACAGCCAGTTAATCCCTTTCAAAATAAAAGTGTCTTTGATTGAGTTTGTATTTCTTTATAAATACCATTTGAAGTTAGTCAAACAAGTAGCAAATACTTCCATATATTACTACTGCCATATTTTACATGTGTCCAATTTATGTATTTATTCAAATATTGTTAAATGTTATTTCTGTTTGACACTCTTAGTTTGAAGTTTAGCAACTTAAGCTGCTAAATCCCACACACAGGTTGCCTGACACATCCAGCAATGCTTGTAAGTGGGGATAGTTTTTATTTAATTTCAGATAAACGGCATAAAAATAAGTAAGTTTTACATGTGTGAATTTTCAGCGGATTCAAAATGAGCAGAACCTACTTTAGTGGAAGCTAATTGATCCTCTAATGCAGCATTTCCCAAAGTTGGGGTCGGGACCCAAAGTGGGGTCCCGAAATATCAAGGTGGGGTCCTGAAAAGATTTTCTGAATTAATTACATTTTTGCCTTAGTTGTTACAAAGGAGTGTGGTTAGTATATTTAAAATGGATAAATGT